TCCCATTTTACAGATCAGAATGCCAAGGCATGAGCTGCGCGGTGAAAGGAGGAGCCAGAAACCAAAGCCAGGAGGGGTGTGTGCTTACCCGAGAGCATCCGCCTCCGGCATTGTGGGGAGAAAGTGGGGAGAGGCGCGCCTGGCCTGAGTATCACAGCAGGGCAACTCACACGCCTCACGGGATGGTGCGATGGCGGGATGGCGGGATTCCCCTTTTCATCCAGGCCCCTAAGGGGCCCTGGCTCAAGGCCCGCAGCTGGTGGGAGGTGGCTGGGATGCGACCACAGGGCCCAAGCTCAGAGTTTACACTTCATTTACACGGCGCAGGCTCGCCGGCCATGCCTCCTCGGCCCAGGCCCCCGCCAGAGCACACCCAGCAGCCTCCAGGCTCCTACTCCCAAAGGAAACGGGAGCTGGAGCGGCCCCCACCAAGCACCATGCCGGCAGCGCGCACGTGCTCTAAGCCTGAGGTCACTTCCCGACTCTCCCACCCAGCTGCCACCCCTGCTCCTGTGACCACCACTCTTCATGGCTCAGTCTAAAGGTTGCCTTCTCTGCCTCCCCAGCACGTTGTCTGCTGTCTCCGGCAGCCAGATCCCGGTGTCCTGGCTGCGATCACGCCTGCCCGGCCGTCACCCGCCTGCTCGGGTGTGAGCACCTGCAGGGGGAACGCCAGGGGCCCTCACTGGGTCAGGTGCAGATTCCTGCTTGCTAGCCCCCTTCTCCTCAACTTGGGCGCGTCCCCGGGAAGGCAGGGCCCAACTGTGGCACTGGACTGCATTGGCTCATCCCAGAGGGGTGCCGTCAGGGCTGTGGGCCCCACACACCCCAAGCTTTGCAAGCAGGAGCAAGCCCTGGTCCACCTCAGAGGAGGTCAGGAGGAGGGCTCGACCCGGACATAAAAACGACCAGCACGCCTCTGCCTCGCCCTCGCATTTCCTCCTCTAGGGTTTTACCCCATACATCCACACGTGTGAAGGGACGTGTACACCGGCTGTTCATGACAGATCAGAAGCAACTCAAATGTCCCCGGGAAGATGGCTCGTTAAGTCCACACAGTGGGAAACAAGGCACCTGTTTTTAGAAATGGGTAAGAAATGTATGTTCTGGTAAGGAATGGCCATGAAGATATATTAACTGAAAAAAAGTAGGGGCCAGCAGGTGGCGTGGTGGTGAAGGCACTGGACTCCCACATGGCCGACCACTGTTTGAGTCTCGGACCTGGAGGCTTGGGAGTCACAGGCACGTGTACGCGCCCCAACTCCGGAGAGGGTGATGGAGGAGAAGGGATTGTGGCATGGTCGTCCCCCTTGGGGGTGGTCTCCTTCCCTCTCACTATCCCTGTCTCTCTCTCCCCTTGGTGAGCGCATGCGTCCTATGGCAAAAACCTTAGAAAGAAAAAAAATCTAAAAAAAGAAAGCAAAGCGTAGAATGGATGTACCATTGGGACTAAAAGAGGACGGACAGGTTTGCATCTGGAGAGGGGCTGAGAATAGGTGTGGGCAGGGAATTCTACTGCATGAACTGCTGTGCCTTTTGGACTTGGAAGGCTACAGACATATTACCCATACTAAACATATGTTTCACATGGAGCAAGAAAGTCACACGGGATTGCAAAAAAAGACAACACCTTTCGATATTTTCCTTCTGGTACCTCCCACTCCAGAATTACAGAAAGATATGTCCTGCCCCATTTCCTACCCTAGCCATACCCCCTGGGCATATGAAGACCTCCCCTCCCTGGATGACCCCCGTTCATCTCCAGTACAACTCAATGGGCACTTCCTCCAGGAAGCCCTCTTGGATTCCTCATTGGTTAGCCAATTGCTCCGTGCCCCTGGACCTGTGTTCTCCTCGCTGTGTCACTTCACTATCTGCACATCATCCCCAAGGAGTGCAGAGGACAGACTCCTACGACATAGCCCCTGCCCACACCTGGCCTGGCAGGTGCTCAGGAAAGCAGCTGCTGTGCTTAGAGCGCCTCTACCTCTGGGGCAAGGAGGCACAGGGAAATGGATCTGGCCGCAGGGAGAGGAACCACTTAACACTTCTGCTGCCTGGCCCTGGGCCAAGCCAACCCTCTCATCTCATTTGCCTAAAAGCTGAGTGGGCCCCTTTGTTGGGGGGGGGGCGCTTTTACCTTGCAGGCTTCCGCTGGGCTCTCTGGGAAGTCGCTGTGGGGGCTTGCTGTCAGCCATCTGCAAATTGCTTTTTGCCCTGATAGCCTCGCTGGCCCATCTGGCTGGTCTCTGGAGAGCTCGGAGTCATTCCTAGTGGCATTCCCCACACGGGGTAGCCCTCGCATGCCAAGTTCCTGCCTGACCCAGTCCTGCCCCGGCCCTGGAGCATCTGACCAGCAGAGTGTGGCGGGCACACCTTATGCCCTCCCGCGAGCCA